ACGCGGCGGCCGTGGTCGGTAGCCGACGGTTTGATGGAACAGAGTGCGAGAGCGAAAGGTAATTCGATCGGATTGGGTGGTGGGGAGAGACGGTCCCAGGCGTGCGGGTGGGCCTCGTCGGTTAGAGGACCAGGACTTCCGTCCCAGGGCTGGGCCGTGACGGGGAAGGGGCACGATGTCTGCGCTAGTCGAGTCGGTGCGCTGATTAGACTTTGCAGCCCGCGAGTGACGAAGCCAAGAATGTGGGCCACGGGCACTCCGAACGCCTGAGACGCTTGTGCTGAGATCTGTAAAGTCGAACGGGCGAGATCTTAGCGCGGCCACACTGGCGGAGGTGACCGCCGCGGACGTTGATGGTCTGGACTGGTGTTTGGTAGACACGGCCGGTGCGGTGCAGGGCAAGTCTGGCGTCGCTGGTCACGCGGCGACGTACCAAGTACCGTGGGATCACAGCAGCCGGCGTCATCTAGCTGGCACCTGGGCGGAGATTGAGCTGGCAAGGCTGAGATGATGACGATGGGGTGGGGTTGGAGGGTACCGTACGCACGTATAGCGTGTCGTTTAGATCAGCGAAGCGTGCAGAACCGGTAGAGGGGATAATTTGCAGCTGGGGCGCTGGGATAGCCATGCCAGACGGCGATCCCGGCGGCTGCTTAGATGCTGTCGACGCATGGCTTTCTGCAATGGGGTTAGGGCGCGTGCCGTAGGTGAGGAGTGAATGCCGCATGTTTCTACTCGAGTGAGGTGCAAGCGCAATAGGAAGGCACCACCGGTCAGCTTCAGATCGCGACTGCCCTTCGCGGAGGCCTCGCTTACGGCCTGGGGTGATTGGGCAGGCGCGCCATGGATGACACGAAAATGCCCACCCCGTTACTTGGGACAAAACACGCTGAGATGAAAGGGAGCGCTTGATGCAATGTGACGGGTTTCCTTCTGCTTCCTTCTGCACCTTCTGTCGCGCAGCAGCTGTCAGCGCTCGGCATCCTGGCTCCATCGGAAGCAGACACATGGCCAGGGCTGTCCACGTTGTGACGCCTACCGCGACCCGAGACGGGGAGAAGCAGCAAGCCACCGAACCAGCCTCTCCAGTTCGCTGCGGGCGCTGAGGGCGCTGAAGGAGCCGGCCATCGGCTGCGGCTACGAGATCTCTGCTGGGCCTTGGCCCTGCACCGCAGCGCAACGGGCATGGCTTCGCAGCGGCTGCCCCAAAACAATGGTCTGTGGCATCAGCCCAACTACCACACGGCCTGGCTTGCAGACAACCGAGAGCCCGATCGACCGCGGAGTCGTCCCCAGTTCCTTGTAGCCATGTCATTCCGCCACTCCGCCAACTGGCGAAACCAGGCCGCTGGGAAAGGCTTCGACGACACAGCATCCGCCAGATGCACCGTCGACGCCTCGCGAGCACCTCCACGATGCGTCGACATCGTGCAGCAGCTGTCACGCGAAGCCGCCGGCGCCTTGTGCTTCCGCAGAGGCTGGACGCTCGACGCCGCTGCCTGCGACACACGCTGCAGCGACGGAGATTCCAAGACCCAAAAGACGGCACCAGACGCGCGCAAAATGGACCGAATATGCACTTCCACGTGGAGATCCACCCATCTAGGCAGAATGTACGACGACGGTGCGCCGGGTCTGGCGTCAGAGAGATTGAGTTGAGCAGGGTATCAAATGCTCTGCTTATTGCACCATGCCTGTTCAGATGCACACGTGCCGCAGGCAATATACCAGCACGTCTAATTTTAGCCCGACAATTCACCCTCCAGTGGCCCATGATTACACATTTCGGGGCCAACAGCAGCCTCCCGGAATGACGCCTTGACTGTCTTGATATTGCTCCGCAACTGGTCAACCGCGCCATGACCGCCTACAGGGAACGGGTGCCAGGTCGATCCGACACTCGAGCACATCTCCCACTTTTTCTTTCATCCCGCCGTCGAAACACGCCCGCTTAAGCGCACGGTAGCCCATCGCTTCATCATGTGCTGCTCGCAGTCATGCTCCATCTCGGCTAGCGCTAGCCCGCTCGTTCAGAGCGCCATGTCGTCAGCTAACTCGCGGAGCGGTTGGAGCACGGTCGCAACCTAGGTCGCCGAACTGGAATCCCTGCAGGGATAAGCACTTCCCAGCTGGCCTCTTGTCTGTTTCTCGCGAGACCATGATTGACGCTGAATGCAGCGTGATGAGGTCTGCGACAGAAGCGCTCATGTCCTACCTGCTGGATAGCGCTTCTGCTACCCACCGACCGGACTACCTCTGCGATCAGCGCTGCTAGTAACGGCGATTGGCCTCCAGCAACGGCGAGCTTGGGCAAACCAGGTAAGGGTCGTCTTTGAATGTGCTTTGTCTCTGCCCCGGCACTGTTTGGGCCAGACCATGTCCGTGCGCCCACAGGCTCTCCCAGGTCCTGTTGGCGCCAGTCCCGACGCATGTTAGAGTGCCAGTAGGCTTCTGACCCTTGGTACTTGGGAAAGACAAAAGCATTTCGTTCTTTGCCCGTCTCTTGTCGTGCCGCGAGTCTGGGTCAGGGGAGCAGCCGCATGCCTACCCAATTTCTTCCTTTTGCGCCACTACTCGTCATAATCGACGAGGGTCGAAACAAGTGCCGGCACGGGGATGCTCCTCGTTGCCCATCAGCAAGTGTGATATGAGATAATCAGACGTCCTCAGAGCTCACGGGCCGGCGCAAGCGACTGCTCCTCCACTTTGCTGGTCCAAGCCGTCCCGCACGCCAGCAGACTCCGACAGATGGCCTGCGGACAGGGTCTGGCTACGGTGGGTGCTTTCACCCCCTGGCAATGCATTGTTGTGTGCGGCCCCATGCTCGACTAGTTCTCTAAACTGGACCTGAACGGTGTGGTTTTGTCATTCATTCGTCGCATTACTTCTGCCGTGCCTCGTTTGCGTTGCCTTATTGTGACAAAGTGCGTCTGTGGATAGCGCTCCCGCCCGCTCACCTGAGGCGTGCTCTCGAGCTAATTCTCATCTCCCATCCCGATCCAGATCCTCAAAACGCTTGGACGGACCCTATCGCCTGGTTGAGCCCTTGATATTCCTGAAGCCCCAGCGCGCCAGTCAGCCACGCGAGCCCACCTACCCTGACATCCTTAGCCCGCCATACATATACGTGAGGGCTACCGCTCTCCACTCACTCGCGGTAACAAAGCCTTTAGTCCACCAAGGTTCCAGCCATTCTCCGCCATCGCTCCTCTTAGGGCGCCAGGTCCCGAGCTTAACAAGGAGTGATCGCCGCTCCACACGCCTCAAACTCCACCACCAGCACCTCACAAGGCTCAACCTCCCCGCCAAAGGATCAGTGGGCCGTATCGTCAACGCACAGCACCACATCTTGCAATACCGCTACCCAGCACCTTGGGTCGAGTAACGGCAGAACCACCACAGCCAATCTGGAGCATTACCATCCTCCTCGGACCACAACACCAGCACCGTCATAGCAGACGACTCAGTGTCCTTAGCCCCAAACAATCGTATACACATCCCGTGTAACAGCCTCAGTAGCACCACGTCTGCGCAACCAGGAATCCGGGCCCTACCGAACAGTCCGTGTTGAACAACACCACAGTTCCACGAGTATCTGCTTTTGATCTCTTGTACGCCCTCCTCTTACGGTCTGCGACGACGAGCACCACTAACACCGCGCAGTTACTGAGACTTTCTAGAGCACTTGCGGCCAGACGTGCGTTTTTCGGTATCACTGCCCGCCTGAACCAGCGCAGGTACCATTGCCAGAGCCGTTCGTTCGATTGCAGCATCTCAAAGGACGGAGCAGCCATTAGCCGTCTGACGCGACGAGAGACTAGACCCGGAGCACCGTCGCGAATCCACAGACCGAGCGGGTATTTGTGTACTGGGAGGACCTTTTACAAGATCCCTTTCCCTCCACTACCTGCATATCATCTGTACCTTGTCCCTCTCCACTAGAGCCCCTACCTCTCACATTACGCCTTTGAGCTACGGATCGCTCGTTGCCCTCCGTGGATTCTCAGCCTTCACGTGGGTTGTATTGGTCCGGTGCTCACTACACCCCACCATTTGCAGCGTCACAGCTGCAATCCCTACCAAGTCCTCCTTCATCTGAAGCAGGGAGGTCATCAGGACCTACCCGGAACACAACCGCCAACGTGGCTGCTGCCGTGGCTCATCCGTCTTCCATGCATCCTGGGTCTGACCCAATGGGTGTACCTCCCAGCTTTGCAACGCGGAGGCCTCACGCCCAGCAACTGGGCAGCTTTGAGCTACCCCCACCACCCATGCACAAATATCCCTTCACCAACACAGTCACCACATCTCAGTCATCACAGGCTCCGACTACCATAGCCAGCGTTGGCAATCTTCTGACTCCGCCAAATACACACCACAGTGATGTGATAGGCTCATCAGGAGTCTCTACAAGCAGCGCACAGTACTCCACAGCAATGGCATACTCCAACGGGCAGCAGTACATCTACTCTCCGCCAGCGCAGGGATCGGCTGCGCACTACGGTTACCCGGCTGCACATCATCAACAGCAGAACCAATACGGCCAAGCCCGTGGAGGTATGTTTGCTCCACCGCGCAGCGAAGGTCAGCTTGGACGACAAGACTCACTGGGCAAAGGGCTGAATCCGCCACCATATGAGATGAACCAGCAACTTCCACCTTTTACGCCTTCGTCCAACGGAGCGAGCATGCCCTCGATATCCACACAACAACATCACCAACAACATCAACATCAACAACCCCAGCATCAACATCAGCAACATCAGCAACACCACCACCAACAGATGATGAGCGCACAAACACCGGTCTCTTCTTCGGCACCACAACAATCGCCTGCCCTTAGCCAGGACTCCTTCAGGCCACCACAGCCGCCGACTCCAACATATAGCTACCACACAGCCAGCACTCCCCAGCATTCCAACTTCCCTTATTCTACTGGCCCATCTCCCACATTAAGCCAGCAACAGAGCCCCATCAGCGCTGGTGGATCCATGCACCGAATGTCACCCGCCGTATCCCAAGGCTCCATCCCTTCGATACCCTCCAACAACCCTGCACAATCACCCTACCAATATCAACAAAGGCCACCACTGCAATACCCCGGTAGTCAAGCACCCGTCTTCTCCAACGTTCAGAACCCCAACGGTGGACTGGCACTTGTCGGAGGCCACCCTGCGATGATGCCAGGATTCAACAGCGGTCACGCAGCAGCTATGCCTCATTTCATGGGCCACCCACAACACCAACAGCCTGCTGCTAACGACCGACCGTTCAAGTGCGATCAGTGCCCCCAGAGCTTCAACAGGAATCACGACCTGAAGAGGCATAAGAGGATCCATCTAGCTGTCAAGCCTTTCCCTTGCAATCACTGCGACAAGAGCTTCTCGCGGAAGGATGCGCTCAAGGTATGTTTTGTCACTTTAATGAACACCGCGCGAATAAAAGCTAACAGATCAACAGCGACACATACTCGTCAAGGGATGTGGAAAAGCCACCGCCGACGACAACACCAAACGCGAAACCCCGTCGCCCAAAATCGAGGACTCGAAGCACTGATCGCCGAACCTCCGCCGTCCATCGCCCTTCTTACTCGATGGAGAGTCCTCGGCCTCTCCTACTTTCACTTCTACTTCTCCTGTATTACTTATTCACCTCCTCCTATACGCTGTCCTACATCCCTCTCGCGCACGTCGCCTGCGCTAAAGGCATCGTTCTGGTTACGACTTATGCATGTTTTATCACGTCTGCTTATTTATTATTTCTGAACTGGACTACCCTGGGAAACGAACGAACGGAAAGGGGAGTTACGGGACATATTTTTACGTTCGGGCGGATCGCGAATACCTTTTACTTGTTGTTTTATCGCGCTGTGTATGTATGAAGGTATATCTGCATTGGTCACGCGCGTTTCGGTTGTCGATGGTTGTATGTAGTTGGCACCGCATTGCTTCTGTTGTCGTTCGGGTTAGAGATGGGACAACGTTGCAGGAAACTGGTGGTCGGAAGCTTATGGTTCGGTCGATGCGGACGCCTGCATGTGCTTTCCAGGGTGGGAAGGGGGCTCTACGCCGACCTTGCTTACGGGTGTAATGTTTCAGGGACGAAGTGGAACACCCACTGTACACCGGGGGTTTTCTTTTTCGCTTCGCTTTTACGGAAGACTGCATTTGCGGTGCGGAGTCAGAACTGCGCGCACTGCATTGCTACTAGCAAAAATACCACATCATGACTTACCTGAAATCCTCACCTACATGCATTACCATGTCGTGAACTCGCTTTCACCCACATCCACTCAGTCCATCGACTTGAGTCAAGATCCCCCTGCGCAACATCCAGCGAACTTGCGGTGTGAATCGGGTGTGATGTGCTTCACTTTGTTCCCGTAGGTACATGTAGTTAAGTGTGGCATCACTGGCATATATCATCTGCATTATGTTCCTGAAGGAGCGGTCGCGGCATTAAGGTTTTGATTCGTGCAAGGAACGCAAGACGGTTAAGTGCAGCGAAAAAGAGGTGCGAACCACATTGCCGGTACAAATGGTTCGGCAGGCTCCGGGGGCTGGGATTGGATTCGGGGTTGTGCGGGCGGGCGGCTTGGCACGGACGTGGACGTGCTGGAAGACGCGCTCGACGCGTGGACTGCAAACTTCCATCCTACCTCACCTCACTTCATCGCGAAGCGGGACGCGCTTTCACCTCGCCACGATGCGCTTTCATCTCATCTGCTGCCTACGTCGGATATGCTGCGCGACTGAAATGTTCAACAGGTAAATTGAGGATCCCCAGGTAAAAAGTACCTACTTCACGCTCATTTCAGGCACGCGTGGCTCGCCTTCGATATAAAACCCCATCTTCTGTATGCTTCAACCCTTGCTATGTCTTTTCTCTTGTCACAGTTTTCTCACGTGATGTCTTCTGGCATGTCTATGTACAAGGTATATTACAAGCCAGCTTCCACGCTCACGAGCAAGACCCGCTGGCAACTTCTGCGCAAGGTAAGCGGGAAAGCCATGTCAAGAGCTTCGATGTATCGGTAAGAACACACTTTCCTTAAGTCTTCATCTCATTTTCTTTTCTTCAGCCCACCTTATACAGCAAAAACCCGACCAGGTGTAGAGCCTACATCAACATTACGCCATCTACTTTGAATGTTTTTATGTTGATGTAGGCTGCAGACCTGTTCCAAAGTATAGTTCTTCCCTGAGTTCCAGCTCTCTCATCATGTTTGGGATCACGACAATGTTCGTCGGTCATGGTGCTCGTCGCAATGGCTTACTGCACCCCCAAAGTAGCGTTTACGTCTCATTATGGTAGAGAGACGCCTTCCTGCTTCTGCAGCTCATCGCCACTGCTGTGGCTGGTATTGGTGTTGCTCCTGCCGCCGCCGCGTTTGCATCCGATGGCGCTTCCACAGGGTCTCAGTGCTGTCTGTGCGGTGCACTTCCCTCGCAAATTATTTTTCCTCTACCAACATCGACACTTGCATAGCCGGTCCCATTGTATGCATCCATCTACTTGTTAGCTTCTTGGAGCGAGAGCAGACTCACTTGGCATTGCACATCTAGCCGCCTTTCCCTTACCGGCCCCGTCTACGGACTCGCTGGCGGTCAAACGATCGGGCGATAAACAACAACAACAACAACACACATCATCTCCGTCATGGCCTTGACCTGATACCCCCACTGCAGCAACGCCGACTACCCCAACAACACACCGCAAGCTTTTTACGCTCTTGGACACCCACCTTATCGTCTTGTATCTCTTGGCTCTTCCACCCTTGTATCGTATCACAACAGCTGCACTACTCGAGGACTTCCACCTTGACCACTGCAAGCCCTTACCCACAACATGGATTCCAGCTTCCATGGCCGCCCACCAACGCGGCGACGTGCGCTCGGTGACGGCACGAACCGCGCAAATGAGGGCCCACGCATCCAGCGCGGCAATGAAAAGCGACGCAACAGCTACGCGTCTTCGTCACCTCATCCACTTCCCCACAACGAGTCCATAGTTCCGAATGGCACACTCGCAGTTAGTCACGAACAAGTCTCACCGGAGAACAAGCGTCTGTCCGCCGTTCAAGCCCACGAAGATCGTCCCCACAAGTCGAAGCGCGATTCGGAGATTTCCAATGCGAGCACCAATGCTTCCAGCTCAAACCGCCGGCGCAAAACACACATTGGTCCTTGGCAGTTGGGCAGAACTATTGGGCGAGGTGGCTGCTCGCGTGTGCGGCTTGTCAGACACAGCGTCACAGGGCAATATGGTGCTGCGAAGATCATCTCCAAGGCTACAGCCGAGAAGGTGCGCGCTTTGAGCTTGGCCAACCTCATCGCGGAGCAAGAGTCGTCACTCTATCCCGACGGCAAGGTCATCCCATTTGGCCTGGAGCGCGAGATCTGCATCATGAAGCTGCTGGATCATCAAAACATTGTGCGCCTGTATGACATCTGGGAGAACCGCGATGAGCTGTAAGTACACCACCGATAACAAACTACTTGTCTAACATGGTGCAGCTACCTCATAATGGAGTTCGTCGAAGGCGGCGAGTTGTTCAGCTACATCCACGAGCAGCATGGCTTGATCGAGATCCATGCCGTACACATCTTCCGTCAGATCATCGCAGCCCTAATCTACTGCCATCGTATCAATATCCATCATCGCGACCTCAAGCCCGAGAACATTCTGCTGGACAGAGATACCATGAACGTCAAGCTTGTCGACTTTGGCATGGCTGCGTTGCAGCCTGTCGGCAAGAAGCTCACCACACCCTGTGGTAGTCCTCATTATGCAGCACCAGAGGTTATCAAGACTACATCATACGACGGAGGAAAGGCAGATGTATGGAGCTGTGGCGTCATATTGTTCGTCCTGCTTACCGGCACCCCTCCCTTCAACTATTCTGGCGATGAGCGCGATCTAAAGCATCTGTTTCGCGATATTGCCGCGGCGAAGTATGTCATGCCCGACAGCATCTCCAGAGAGGCCCAAGACCTCATTGGAAAGATACTCGTCGCTGATCCGAACCGCCGTATCTCTATCGATGAGATCTGGGACCACCCATTCTTGCGCAAGTATCAGCAAGAGCTGAATTTCGTGGGAGAGAATGTCAACGTCGACTACTGGACTGGCCCCCTTCCTGCCATCGCCGAGTGGACGACTCTCGAACGCACTTCCGTTGATCGCGAGATATTGCGGTACCTGCGTACACTCTGGCATAGTGAGAAGGAGGAAACCCTTGTCCAGAAGTTGTTGAGTAAAGAGTAAGCATCCTCCTTACTGGGTTCAAGTGCATCTACTAATACCTGAAACAGGCCAAACCAAGAGAAGTACTTCTACTCTGCACTTCTGAAGTACCACACCGATCAACTAGAGAACTACCAACCGGACGCACACCATGTCGTAGCCCACTCCAACAGCGACCATCACCATAATACACGGCATTCGCCCACGCGGAGGGACTTGGAGGAGCTTCCGACCAACAGCAATGCTCACAAGCGCTCGCAGTCCACGTATTCCATTATGCACAATGAGCATCTATACTCGAAGCACAGCCTCTACGAGTCGCCTGTCTCTGAAGCTAGCTACGACCCATACCGAGCCTCGAGGCAGCCTATCGTCCCCATTCCCGAAGATGCTCCACTCAACCAGAATGTCACAGTTCATCGGGGACAGAGCGGTCGCAGCGAAAAGCTTCGTCCTACCACCGCTTTGGGGCATCATACCGGAAACTCGTTACGCGTTCAAGCTCTGCGAAACAACTCTAAGCGTAGTTCCGCACTGTCCCGCGGCTCTTCACGAAGCACGCCTTCCAACCAGAGTACCCCATCTCATCGCGCTCCTTCGATACAGCGACGCTCCATGTCTCGTTCGTCCATCGCGAGCTCACACTGGCCTAGTAGCCCACCTGTTGCTGCTCGATCCGCTGGTATGGGTAAACGAGGTGTGAGCTTTTCGCACCTGCGCGATCGTCGGACTTCAGTAGCGACAACTAGCAGTTGGCAGACCGAGGTTGGATCTTGTGCCGACTACATGTCTCATAGGCCTCACACGTCTATTGGGTCGTATGGTCCGTCTATCAAGACGAGCACGACTCGGTCAACTCCTAGGCCAAGAGCTCGCATGAGCTCAGAGACGCCGCGCTTGAAGCTCCGCAAGCCAGAGAGCCCTACCAAATACATCCAAGGCGAGGCTCGGAAGGTTAGCATGGAGCTGGGTAAAGTCATGGAAGAGGCCTTCAACCGCTCTTCAGTCGGTTCGAGCGTTCGTTCAGATGCTTACCACGATGCCTCGCAATATGACAGCCCTCCAACTTCATTCTCCAATACCCGCGACTCAGGTGGCAGTACTCTGGCCGCTACCCCAGGTGCTAAGCTGCTCTTTGGAGAGAGGCCATTACCACCAACTCCCGCCAAGACACCCACTACTTTCCTGCAGCGAAAGTTGGCGGAGACGCGTGCGGACATCGCCCGACGACGGAACGAGGATGACGATACCACTGAACATTTCAACGAGGTTCTTGAGCATCTCGATCGTTTAATGGTGCCTGGGGTTGGAGGCAAGCGTACAGTCTCTGCTCCAGCGAAGTCCCCCGAGCGTCAACTGCTGCGCGCCATCCCAGAGGAAGTCAAGGCCGACAGTGGGAATGGGTTTGATGCCCATGTTCCCCAACGTCGAACTGTCACTGACCCCGTCAGGCCTCTTGGTCGTCGTGTGGTAACCGAGCAGCAGCAGATTATCCGTATGGTCGATGGATCGCCTACCCGTGTCGCGCCTCTAAATATCCGCAAGCGCAGTGGTGCAAGCTTGAAGACGAATGCGACTAACGAGGTGCCTGCTGTACCCTTGATTCGATCATATGAGAATGGACAGCACGATCTGCAAGCTCCACGTACGAACGAGGCCGCTCCCGTTCTCCAGAAGCAGAACACGCTGCTTAAAAAGAAGAAGTCGCTGTGGTTCCGTCGCAACACTGGCGAGCAGGAGCGTGATCAAGAGAACAAGGAGAACCAAGTCAAGAAGAAGCAGTCGAACACGCTCCTCCAGATCCCAGAGGCATGGCGGGGTCTCGATGACCGCATCAAGGCTGATCGTGCACCATTTACGAACATTGAGAGCGAGAAGCTTGATCATAAGGGCGTAGATGGTAGCAGCGGAAGCGAATTCCCCATGCGTAACACCAGTTCAGCTGCCACGAAGAGCGATGGTTCGACTCGCAAAGGCTTCTTCGCCTTCTTTGGCAGGAAGAAGGACGACAAGGGCAAGAAGCCAATGGAACTTGGAGGTGAGTTCATCCCTTCTTACTTTCATTTCTGATCAAACACTAACATGCTTTCAGGACTCAACTTCAGCTCATCTTCGATCCTGTCCAACTTCGACATCAGTTCTGACAACAATAACGATACAGCTCGTACTGGTCCACCGGAAATGCAGATGAACTGGCTATCACGCTTTCTCCACATCAAGCCTGCCAGCAAGACGCTGTGCTTCCAGATTGGTCGTGGCAAAGTTCGTCAGGACCTTGTTCGCCTGCTGCGCGACTGGCAACGGTTCGGCGTTCAGGACGTCTCACTGGACCGCGCATCAAACTCAATCAACGCACGCATTGACAAGAGCAACCGTAAGTGCCCACCACCCCGAGCGTGTCTTCTATTCAGCGGATAGCGTCTGCAAAACTGGCGGTTCGAAGTGGAGATGCTCGAAGCCGAGCTTGTATGGCGATGTAATGCTGCGATTTACTTCTACAACCTACGCAAATCCATGCTAACATCTTTTCCCTCACAGACCTCAAGATCAAGCCCGTAACCTTCGTCATTGAACTCTTCGTCGTACTCGAACACGGACGCCGCGCCAACCTCTGCCTCGCCCGCTTCACGCAAACCCGTGGCGCCGCCTCTAGCTTCCGCAAGGTCGTCGATATTGTCGAAGACGTCTGCCGCGCTCGCTGCATGCTGGTTGAAGACGAAGAGAAGAGAGCTTCGATGATGGAGGTCTTGGACTAGGATACCAAGATGAAGAAACATGAAGATGATAATGATAATGACGGAGCGGGGTGTTTGGATACCAGATGGCATACTTCTTCCCTCTTTTGAGTAGGGTTTAGGGATTGTATTGTGCTTTGAGTCTGGGTATCTTGTTTGTAGTAGGAGATGGGAGATTGGTGGATTGTCGATAATTGGGCATCTTCTGAATACGATACAGATGGATACGCTTCCACATGCTCTAGTGTTGGCGTGGGGATGGTTGATGGGATGATGTTGGTTTACTTGTACACGTATACTCCCTCCCGGCGCCGAAGATAACGTCTAATACGTAATAATAATAGTCGCTTCTGCGATTACTATCATAGTTCCGTGCATGTGAAGGTGTTTACATGGCACTCTTGATAGATATATGACCACCATGAGCGGCACCCAGAAGGTACTCAAGCACTGTGCCTTTGACATCCGAGCACTTGTTAGGCCGTCGTATGCGGAAGATCGGTACTCAGGATAGCAGCGGAGGACACGAAAACCTGTTGTAGACGTCTGTCAAGTCAATGGTAGTCGTATGATAAGGTAGGAGAAGACATTTATACTGCTGGCTCACGAGGTTTCGCTACCTCTATACTTGTAATGATGTACATCATGATGGTGTTACGCATGTGGGGGTGTTACACAGATGATATGACAGTACGTACATCGACATCAAGCGTAAGGATGATAGGTGTTCTTTGTTGTGTTTCAGAAGGTTGGAGTTCTTGAGATGTTAGAGGTGGCATACGATAAAGAGCATCATGGCATCAGTCGCAGTAGTACAATCACTTGGTTCAGCTCTGTACATGCTGGGCGACTCGCCGGGATACCTCCATATGCCGCCATTGTCTGGGCTACTTCTTACAGGCAGGATGTGTAGAATGTCACCCTGGATCTCTCGCCGTAATGCCTCACAGACCTTTGTCATGTTATACACACATGTGAGCTCAAGCTCTTCCGGTGTTCGTGAGGACGTGGTATTGCATTCGCCCTATGGCGCCAGACGCTAATGTGGACAGTGTCCGGCACACCGATCCAAAAAGAGGTGAAGAAGCCATGATGCCATTCCATTCATTCCATTTTCCGCAGTGTGTTTGTTCGGAAGAGAGATTCAGAGAGTAAAGGAACACCGAGTCATCCCGAAAAACCAGCCATAACCCAGACTATGCACGCCATATCGAACCCAGCTTAACGAGTCCTTGCCTGCACCTTTGGTGCGGCACCCTTGGCACCCTGCTTGCTGACCTTGGCGGCGTTGCCTCGTGCGGACGCGGCGGCGTTCTTGGCCTTCTCAGCCTTCTTCGCTGACTCGGCGGCGGCCTTCTTCTCCTTGCCCTCCTTGATGGCAGCGGTGCGGGCGGCGGTACGGGCCTCGGGGCGTTGGCTGCGGCGCTCCTTGATTACGTCGAGCGAGGCACCGACGATGGCACGCTGGTGCTTGACTGTGCGGCGGGTACGCTTCTTGGCGACTTCCTGTTGGAGAGATGGTGGTTAGCGCAGTCCGCGATGGGGTAGTAGAGATGCATGTTGCGATGAGAGCAACACCGCCGCTGAGGATGTTTGCCATGCCCAAGTCTGTCCGCAGTGCAGACTGATGTCATAGTTCACTGCCTCTCAAACATGTCCCAGCGGCGTGCATATGAGTTCGCGGCGACTAACCTCAGAGATACCCTTCTTGTGCGCCCTTCGGTAGAGAGTGGTCCAGTGAATCTTGCGAGGGTTCTTGCGCTGGAGGAAAAGGGACTCGGTCTTTCCGTTCTGGAAGCGGAAGATCTTGCTGTCACCACGGATGTAGAGCTTGCCCTGTTTATGCCATCAGCAAATGTCCGACCCATTGTAGTGTTCCATCCCCGTCCGCCAGGTGTTCGCGTTGTCGCCGTCGCGATGGCGGGATTTCGACGTCTGAGGGGCGAGCGGCGAGACGTGGAGGGGCAATTTAACGCACCTTGCCCGGGTAGATCTTTTGACCGCTGAAGGAATCGTCGTAGGTACGCATGTTGGCGGTGTTGGCGTGATACCTGTGTGTTAGTCGTGGGGTTGTCGTCGGTCGCGAATTCAATATTGCAACTCCGGAAGAGACCTGTGGGCGGGCTAAGCCTGGGCAGGCTAGTCTCTTGGCGCTGGCGCGGTGGCTGGTGCGCGCCTCACCAAACGCCTTTCACGCACACACACCGCGATGCAACTCCAACGCGACAGTAGTTCTTCATCACAGTGCGATCAATGCTACCTGTGATGTCTAGGCGTCTGTGCATAGTTTTCACGCGTCCGTACAACAGCTTTGCATCAACCTTTCTTACCGCATCCAGCCTCACAACTGCTTTCACAGCAATCACTCACCACAAGCCAATGCGTTCTCCTTCTCCATCGCCGGGATTGGTGCTGATGAGCCCGATATCATCTCATAGCTTGCCAGATTCATTATCCAAGTTTCTCTTTACGAATAAACGTCATGAAGATGTCCAGGCCACTGCAGTCGATCTGCCTCAACCAGCGCGCACTGCATACCATTTAGATCACGGTGTATGGGGTGCGGCAGACAGAGTGAAGAATGAATCAGGCATCAGCGCAAATAACATGGGCGATTTCATCATAGGTTCTTTCCCTATCGCCCTGAAGGTGTATCACTAGGATATCTACGTCATTTTTGGCATTTTCGTACAGCCAGAAGGCAGTCGCATACTTTCATGCTGATATGATCTAGCTGATGGAGCTAATTTATATAGCAAGGGTCACCGTCAAAACAGCTCGAGAAGTTTGTCAGCACCGGATTCGTCATACCGCAATACTGTGGGCGGTAAGACCATTGAGATATCATCGAAGCAGCCAGCACGTCCTAGCCACCACACCGCAAGTTCAGCAGAGGAATAAGTGAAACCGCTCGTCAGGAATATTCGGTGCTAGTCCCACCGCGGGCTCTGTCCGTTTGTCCGGTAAGGTCTGGAATACTCATGAACTTACAGCTTAATATTATTGCAATCACTGAGTACATATAAGACTTCATCAAAATTAGCAACAACAAAAACATTCCCGATGTTACTTGCTATGGATCCTTCATCACACAAAATTTCGGTTGCGTCCGCCGGTTCCGGTATGCAGTTACGAGAGCATGGCGATACAACGTTTGACCCGACAACGCATCGTCTCGTCACTGCACCGACGCCACGGTCTGCACGAGCAAATGCAGCCATATCTACATCTACTCTACACGACCAAGATCTGGTAGATGTCATGGCCGAGCTTGAACGCCATCAATCTGATCACCGAGTGGCCTTCGCCTTCGACACGGCTCAAGGTGGCCGTATCCATCCATTGAACGAGGACGAGCTAAGACACTTCCGCAAGGAAAGAGATGGTGTATTTGGTCCATCTCAGTGGGACACGCCGAACCTTAACGGAGAGTTGCCGTTCACTTTCACATCGCTACCCAGCCCTGCGGCAGTCGAGAAAGCGATCAAAAGCGACATTGGAGGTGAGAATCACTTCCGTTTTGCACCTTCGCGGGGCTCGCCAGAAGACGATGCAAATGCTGTTGTGCATTTGCTCGACAACATTGGTAATCCGAGGTACTCTGAGCCTGGCGCGGTTGTCCACATGCAGTCGCCTACCTTCAATCAGAAGAAGCGCTGGATACCAGGATGGGAAGGGGACGGTGTACTGGGTCAGTCAGAGTTCCAGATGACTGTTGCTCCAGCAGGCGAGGTATTCGAGTTGGAGTACTACGAGCACCACTTTTCCACGACGCTGTTGACCGGCTCGAAAGTATGGTTCACCTTTCCTCCGCTGCAAGCCAATCTAGACCTGCTCCGTAAAGCGTACGAACGTATGCATGACAGCAACACCTCACACGTCCCCCTGGATGTTCTCTCGAAAACGCAACATGGCATTGCAATCATTCAGAAGCTAGGACAGACCCTTCTGCTCCCACCATACTGGTCCCACATGATATTCTGTACCGAGACATCAACATCGTGTAGTTTCTCTTTAGCAACCGCCACGCAATTCATGTACCGCATTAAGCACATGGATCTCTGGGTCAGCCACAATCTCTTCTGGGAGACGGGAGAACAGCTACAATCCCACCTCGTGCGCTATGCCTCAGAATTCGCAACTCATTTCGCGACCATTATGACAGGCGATCTCAAGCGCTTCAAAGTCGCCCCTGTGCAGAACCAGATATGCAGCGAGTGGGTCAAGACTGGACCGAAAGAGGCCGCAGAGTTTGAGAACATGAAAGAGAAGATTGGCGTACTCTTGTCATTGATTGAAGACAAGGATGCGAGGGAAAGAATAGATGATGAAATCCGACATGCGTGGATTGAGTTCATGGAGGAGAAGCGCAAGAAGAGGCCAGAATGCCGGCTATGTCGCGTACGTATCGAGCACATGCCAGCGGGAGAGACGCCAGATGAGCGATTAGCACGACATGTCACCGACGTGCACTGCTCGTACGAGGAGTAATCATTTCGACATGTCCGTCACAGCGAGAGGTGCACTACTTTGGTGCATCAAATTTTGAAGGTCTTATTCTTATTCCCGGGACGTTCCACAACTGTCATGGAAGAATTCAAATACCTCGCCCGCCCATCTCACGCCACTATCATTCACTATTAGTATAAAGACCCACGTCGCACAATGCGAGTCAAGTCGTCGCAGCCGCGCAACCACAGTGAGGGAGAAGAGCATCGGATCGGTCCCTGCCATCCGACACTAAACCGCCCGGGCCGGCCGCCATCTTCATCTACCAAGCCCAAACAGGTCTAACAAGCGGAAACGACCCACGACTTGAGCTCATGCCCCCGCACACTACACCCTGAAATCTTTTGCCTCCGGTGAACTAGACCGCCGCCATTCTGGCAGCTAGAATGCGCCATTGTCAGCAACCGATACTTTTGTACAAAGCTGAGCTGCGGCTGAAGAAATTTCCTGGAAGCTGAATGGAAGGCCTGATCTACGACCGAGGTTCGGCTCGTACCTGCAGATGAAGATGCAGAAGTGGAGAAGGCATTAGACATGTTCTAGGTCGGAGGGGATGGCCAAATCAGGTACCTATATAAGCAGAGTATGTAATGAACGAACGGGACGGCAGACAAGAAGATATTACAACACGAATCTCGAATTTACCTATTAGTTGACCATTTCTACCCACCTCCTACCCACCCACCCACATCTCCAAAACCTCCATCAGGGACGATCCAGAGACTACACATCACTATCGACAAAGCCTGTCTTAACCCCCCTACCCACAACTAAAATGCGCTTCCTCTCCACCCTCCTGAGCACAACCCTCAGCCTCCTCACCCTCACCTCCGCCGCCTTAACAATGAACACCACAAACGGCATGGGCACCACACCCACCCAACGCTACGTCATCTCAGCCTCACAAGCACAAACCGTCATCGACGCCGCCATCACCAACGCCACATCCCTCCAGATCCCCGAGAACATCGCCATCGTAGATCCCTCTGGCCTCCTCGTCGCTTTCCACCGCATGGACAACGCATTCATCGGGTCCATTGATATTTCGCAGAAGAAGGCTAGGACGGCTGTGCTGTTCAATGGGTTGTATGCTAGTGCGGATTTGTATGCCGCGGTGCAGCCTGGTGCGCCGCTTTATGATGTGCAGAATACGAATGGCGGGTTGATCGCTTTCGGGGGCGGGATACCGATTTACCTTGAGGGAAAGTTGATTGGGGGTGTGGGTGTTAGTGGAGGGAGCGTGGAGCAGGATTTGAGTGTTGCGAATGCGGGAGTGGAGGCTTTGGGGGCGACTACCAAGGCATAGGCCCATGGGGTAGCCGTAGAGGACTTTATTCGATGTTTAGGTCGCTAGCGAAGATATTGTGACCGTGAAGTCATATCTCATACCCCGCCTCGACTCATACCGTGACAACGACACATGCGTGCTCAGCATGCATTCCCACTATCCTCTCTCTTCTGGCGCTTAGGCCCCCGGTCAAACGATTGTGGAAACCCTCCTCCAAGCCGCTGCAGATCTCCATTCCGCGCCACTTCCTCCGCAAATATGAATCTGCCAAATGCACATCAGCACGTCAGACTTGGAGGAGGTTACCTCATGAGCTCATACGTCTGGCTCCTCTCCATGCCTTCTATCGCATCTTTGGCATCGAGCCTCGTTCGTTCCTTTACGCCCTCCATCTCCGCAATCGCTGCGAACCGTTCTTTCCAAAGTGCCCATCTTTCTTTGCTGAACTCGCTTTTGCCCTTCCAGAGTTCGCCTCCGCGTCCTGGGTTGCCTTGCTTCTTGTCGGTGGGTGTGAGGTCTTTTTCCATGCGGAAGAGGTCGTGGCCGTAAGCTATTATCCAAGCTACAGCTGCGGGAACGTTTGCGTCGTATTTTTGGTTGGCCGTCGACATGGGTTCATCGATGGGAGGTGTCTCGAGAGCTTCCCGTAGCGCGAAGATGGCGTACATGGAGAGATCGTAGATATGTTCCCTTGCTACAAAGGCGAAGAAGTAGTTCATGTTCGTCCATGCTTGCACCTCCGTCTCGATGAAGCCTTCGTGAGCGGCTGGCGCGTCGTTGAAGGCCTCACGACAGGCCATGCCAAAGTCAGTCATTTCCCTGTAGAGGTAGTCATACTCCTTGTTGTCCGGTATTGAGTGCTCCTTGAATGCGGCGAGTAACTTGATGAGTTGGTGGTGCTGTGTTCGGGCGCCGTCGCGGAATGTTGATCGTCTTGCTGAGTGAATGATGCTGGTCCATAGGTCCATGAAGTCGACATCGTCGAGTTTGGACTCCTTGATCTTTTCATCAATCGGTCCGAGGATGCGCGCCGTCGCTTCTTTCACGTCGATCTTCTGATCGAGGTAGTCTTGGATCAACGGGTAGTACGCGCTGTCTTCTTTTGGACGGAACCATCCTCTTATCTTTGCAATCTGGTCGATTTGATCTGCCTCGTTCTGGAGGGTTGGGAGGATGTCCTTGATCCTTTGGTTTTGTTGCTAAAACTGAATATTAATTATGAGCAAAAATGAAATCACTATGAGCAAATACCGCTATGCGAGCCATTGTTCTGATCGGTGGAGCGAGACGTGGTGCGCTTAGGCTGGTGGGATGAGACAAAGGTACACGGTGTTTCCTTCTAGTGATGTCATACCCGGCGGTACCACGGTCAGTCCTACTAATCCCGCGTGTATGCCTCGTTAAGGCAGCTGGTGACCTGTGCCGGACCAGTCGAAGTACGCTATGAGGCATCCCTTTCTGAAAGTGGATACACACGACCAGTCTGTGTTGATAGGCGCGGAGCATCGTCCGCGTAACGGAAGGCAGGCGTTCGGTTGGCTGGAGAGGTGCATGGTACAAGAGCAGCTGTTACACCTTTAGCAACCACGCCTATAGTATAGCCGATCAGCGCTATGATCGTTAACAGAGGTGCGATGATCGGGATCGAAGCAGGAAGTCTCAAGAGAAGCTGATCGCCGAACGTGGGTGATCAACCCGATGCTGTCGGTACCTAGGTAAACAAGGGTCCTCGGAATGCCGGGGACGGGCGTCCCGCAGCCTTGGAACGTGTTTTTGCCCGCGGGGCACATCGAACCGCAGTGATAAAGCAAGCGTTCAGGATATTTCTATCGCAAGGATTGATGGACCTTAACCACCGGCATGGGATTCACGGCCATGTCACGAAGCCAGCATCGCATTAGCATCACAATGGACCCTGGAAGTATTCGCTGGTCCGTAGTACCACCTGGGCACGTCAAAAGATCGATGTATTCCTCAAACTCATCCTACAGCTTCGCACCCCTCTCCCTCGCAGCCAGAGCCCTCAGATCCTTTCTAAGTATCTTCCCCGCGGGACTTTTCGGGACCTCGTCTAGGAATACAACACCTCCCCTCAACTGTTTATGCCCGGCAACCTTCCCCTTGACGAATTCGACAATGTCTTTCTCTCCAATCTTACTCTTATCAGCGACAACGTATGCTCTTGGCACCTCATTCGTTCCATCATCCGTCGACACACCAATAACCGCAGCATCCAGCACGAGCGGATGACTGAGCAACACGGCTTCCAACTCCGCCGGCGCAACCTGTAGCCCCTTGTACTTAATCAACTCCTTCTTCCTGTCCTGAAAAGATAGAGGTACGAAGTCAGTACATGTCTCACATGCATTTCGTCCAGCCACGACTTACCACGATATAGAACATCCCATCCCTAAACTCCGCGATGTCACCCGTGTGGAACCAACCATCGTGAGTGAAAGCCTCCCTATCCGCCTCTTCATTCTGATAATACCCCTTACACACCACTGGTCCTTTCACCAGCACCTCCCCAGCCATCCCCTCTTCCACATCCCTCCCCCCATCATCAACAAGCCTAGCCCGCATATTCGGCAACAACATAGCCACACTCCCCGTATCATCCCGCATCCCAGGCGTCATAATCGTCGCACTCCCCGTCGTCTCACTCAAGCCCCAGGTCTGATCCACAAAACACTCCTCCCCACCAAGTTTCTGACTAGCTGCATACTGAAGATCCCTTCCTAGTGGCGCGGCACCCGAGACGCAGAATTCTAGGGAGGCGAATTGCGTGGTTGCTAATGGTGATTTGGCGATTAGCAAAAGGATGGGGGGAACGGTGAAGAAGAAGGTTATGCGGTAGAGGGCGTTGTAGGAGAGGAAGGATGGGAAGTCGAAGCGGGGCATCCAGTATACGGTTCCGCCAAGGTAGAAGGGGTTTATCAGGTAGCCTTGTACGCCGGCTATGTGGGCGGTGGGGAGGTCTGGTGTGGGAAGTTAGTCTACGTCTTAACTGTGATGGGGATGAAGGTGTGACCTACGGGCGATTGTGCGGTATTCAAAACCCGGACGTTTCTCTTTCACCCACGCTTTCATCATATCCCCCGTACTAACAGTCTGGCTCACGATATTACGGTGTGAAAGCTTTACGCCCTTGGGTAGCCCAGTCGTCCCGGAGCTATAAATCAGCACTATCAGACTCTCGTCCAGCTCTTTCCGATCCGTAATCCGCGTCCACGGCAGTAAATCTCCTCCATCAATGATGTTCTGCCCCGGCCTCCCATCTTTACCAACAATCTTCAACGTCCATTCCCTCCCCTCACTCATAAGCAGTACGCGCCCGCCTCCACCCTGACCCCACCCCGCGTCCTCTGCAGCTCTTATCGTAGTCTCCAGGGTAGCTTGACAGGTGACAATAATCTTCGAGCTGGCACCTTGGAGTTGCTTGGCTAGTTCGCTGGCCGTGCTTGCCGCAGACGCAGCGGAGAAGATACCACCTGCACCGATGATTCCATACGCGAGGACAGGGAGGAGGTAGTGGCCGGTCGAGATGACGGAGCACACGTCTTTTCCTGGGCCATGGGCGCCGATACCAAAGTGGTTGCGGAGGGCGGCTGAGGTGGCTTGGGTTAGGTGGCGGGCGCGCGATGTGGTTAGGATTAGACTTGGGTCTGCGGCTGAGACGTGGAGGGGAGTATCTGGTCTGGCTAGGCTGTGTTCGGAGTCTATGAGAGGGGGTGTTGTTAGTTGAGAAGGTTGTTGGGGTGGTGTTAGGTGCTTTTGCAGTGGTGGGCGTACCGAAAAGAAGACTTAGTACATCGAGGTCAGGGATCGGGTAGCTTTTCTCGGAACGATAGATGATTCCATCAGCCGTCTTGTCTACAACGGTAGCCATATTACTGCGCAGCTCCTCCTCATGCAAATACAATGTATGCGGATTCAACTAATGAAGCCCGACGAACGAAGCAGAAATGGCCACTACGGTCAATGGTACCACAAGACGTTGTTCTCGTGTATTCGGCTATATATACTCTAGCTAGAGGAGCCGCACAATCGCCCTCGTATAGCGACGCGTTTCCTCGGCTCCCTCGTTCCAGTTTGGATGGGCTGTCGATCCATCTGTGGCTTCGGCAAGCCTGGTATGTCAGTACTAGCGAGTAAGCGGGGTAAGTCGGGGTAATCAACAGCAGCCATGCAACTGGGCGCCATCGTGAGGCTATTCAGCTTTGACATATCAGACACTGATTGAGACGTGCAATGCTTGCTCACGATTTACGAGTCCTTGCGCTCTGAGCGTGGGTAGGTCATGATGTGAGCGTCGTCTTTCAACCTCTGCGTTTTGCACTCGGCTCATCATAGGCACCTTCAGCATCATCCCCCTCGGCGTCGTCTTCACCAGCAGGTTTGTTGGCTTTCTTTGGTTTTCGTCTCTTCCGCTTGTGCTTGACGGGTGGTTCTTCTGCAGCCGCAGTGATCTCCATGGCTACTTCTTCTGACTTTCGCGATAAAACCTGAACGGCCTTTTCAGGCGGACCTTTGGTTGTATACGCCATCGGAAGCACTGCTGGTCGTGCGATCGGAGGCAGCTCGCTCTCGTCGACCATGTTCTTGCGCATTCCTCTAGGGTTCTCTGCCTTGAGCAACGCGACGTATTCAGCGGTGCGTTTGGTATGCTCAACCTTGGTCATTATCTTCCAATCCACAGGCTTGTCTGCTGCTCTCCACTTTTGCCAAACATCGTCGTGCATTACGCTTCCGCTGAGGACAACGAAAGCGCAGCTGTTCCACAATGTATGGACTGCTTGTATGGGTAGCCACTTGGACCTCAGCTCGCCATGCTCGGCAAGCCAGTATGCGACCTTTGCTGGCGTAGGACAGATGTTGCGTAGGTGTGGCTCGACGTAGATTGTGCGCTGGTCCCAGAATGCTAGGCCGTCGTCATCGGTGACTTCGAACGAGTTGTGGGGTAAGTATTTGGGAGGGTACGAAGAGGGCTTGCGGCGAACATGGTAGCCATTGCTCGAGAGCTCTATCATCTTAGAGGGGTGGTCGCGGAGTGCTTGCTGAAGGAGGATTTGAGAGGCTTCGGGCCTCAGGGAGGAGATGTTGGGGTGTTCGAGGATGGCGGTGAGGTGGATGTCTGTATAGCAAGTCAGTTATGGGGGAGGACATAGACCTGGGTATGTATACAATTCTCCTCGCCATCGACGGTTCTGTAACGGTCCTGCAGCCACCTGGCGCGCTGCTCTTCCTGGTGGGCATAGTCGGTGAAGATCAGCTCGATGCCAGCAGCAAGCTGGCCAATGTACTCTGGCGTGACGGGCTTGGTAGTAAATCTGGGACCAGGCTTGGTGGCTTTGAGGTCAGTCTGTTCTGGCTGGTCAGTAGGTGAGCTGGTTCTTGTCTTCTGCATCGCCTCGACCAGCGCATCGTCTTGGTCGCCTTCAACAGGCGCTTTAGAGGGACCTTGGGCAGGCTTGGGCCGCGGCTTCTCGCGGACGCCCTTGAGCCTGAGCGCTCTGGGAATGAACATGGCACGGATGTTCCGCTCTCGTGGTGGAGAGAGTTGACAAGAATTGGCGTCGCTGAACAAGTTCGAGTGCCATCGCAGACCGCATTCGCGACGCGCCGCGGCTCAAGCACGGACCTACGTCAGTCCCCAGAATCTCAATTTCCGTACAGCGCTGTCGACCAACAATCTCGCAAACCTCCTTCATACCCGATTTTGCCCTCGACCGCCAAGATGGCCAAAGAGAAGAACTACAACCCCGTGCAAGAAGCCAAGAAGGCCGAGAAGCAGAAGCAGATCCGCAAGCAAAAAGCCAACCTCCAGACCCAGCGCAACGAGAAACTCGCGCGCCGAAACCCCAACCGCATACAACGCGACATTGACAACCTCAAAGAACTCGACCAGAGCGGCGCAATACGGCCACATGAGCGACAACGGCTACAGGAGTTGGAGAAGGATCTCGCCGCCGTCAACAAGGCGCGCGCAGCACTCGGCGACAAAGCGCCCGTCTTCAAGCCAGAGCGGCAATACAACAACGAGGACAGGGGGCGGGGAGGCGACCGGGGAGGCAGAGGCGGCGGTGTTCTAGGCAAGCGATCGCGCGACGGACCGCGCAAAGACGACGACAGCAGCGACACCGACGATGACGTGAAGCGCATCCCCATGCCGCGCGACACACCACCGCCTATACCGCGGAAATACCTACCACAAGACCCGCAAGACGAAGCAGCCGCGCCCGCCGAACCCAAGAAACCCACCATCG